CACGGACGCAAATCCATATGAAACATCAGTTGGAGAAAGAGTGGAAACGAAATGTAAACATCCAGACTTTGCAAGGTTTTGTCAACAGAGCTCACCAGTGTTCCTCATGCTGCTGACCAGCCTGCAAGCGGTTGACGGTCCCATAGCGGCGACAGTCGCGGCTGGCTCGTACTTTGACCCGACCACGTCAGTTCTGTGCAGCGTGCTCCTAACTCCACAAAATGCCACCAGCTGCCCCACGTTGTACCCTGTCTTGTACATTCTTCTGGGGTCGTAGGAACAGCCCAAAAAGTGTATGGGTAAGCTTGATATAAGTAGAGCCTTGAGCTCCTGGCTTTCGGAATTAGGAGTCGGCAATTATTTTTCTGACAAGCATCGAACCTAAAAAAAGCCGTTTGTACCGCCTAACAGTGATATTAAACATGTATTGGTTCTAAGCGCTCGAACGCCTCAAGCTGAGCCGATGGTCACTAATAGGGGCAAATGGATTTTTAAAACCCACTTTTCTACGCATCATCCCATAACGTAATCTTGAACTTCCCATCAGCTGGGGGCCAATGGCGCCTTCTCTGCTGCTACAGCGCCGCCCCCTGTGCCTGCAGGCTATTGACGAGATGCAGGCGGAGCGGATTGGACACGGTTACCACGTGCTGGAGGACGAGGAGCTGTACCGGCGCTGCGTTAGCCAGGGCGTCCACTTCGAGTGCTGCCCCTCGTCGAGCTTCCTGACCGGCGCTGTGCCGCTCACCGAGACCCGGCACCCCGTGCAGAGGTGGGTACGGGACCTTCCGGCACCCCATGCAAAGGTGGGTACGGGACCTGTCGGCACACCGTGCAGAGGTGGGTACGGGATCTTCCGGCATCCCGTGCAGATGTGGGTACGCGACCTTCCGGCACCCCGTGTAGAGGTGGGTACGGGACCTCTCGGTACCCGGTGCAGATGTGGGTACGGGACCTCCCGGCACCGCGTGCGGGTGTGGGTACAGAACCCCCCGGCATCCCGGTAACTCGGGCTGCGAAGTATAGGACATTTCTACACGCAGTAAGGAGCTAAGTGCTGGTCCCTCCACCGCCTCCTACATTTTGCGTACTGAGACGCCCAACACCTCGTGCAGAGATGGGTACGGGATCCCCTAGCACCCCGTGCAGTGGTGGGATTTCCCGGCTTGTCAGGTCTGGTGATAAGCGAGTACATTTAAAGCGGCGGACGAGGCGTGGAGGCGTGGAAACGCAGACGTCGATAAAAAGCGCCATAGAGCAGCGTATAGCCGCGGACACGTCTATGGCCTAGCGCACACAGTCAGCCGCGTCACAGATCGCGCTCAGCAACAGGCTCCGGCACGAACGAACGTTCAATACGTTTGGGTCAGTCGGGCGGAGGGCTCCGGCGCCCGACTGATCGCACGCTCTGCTCCTGGTGCGGGATTCCGACGCTTGACTGACCGCACGCTCTGCTCCTGGCACGGGGCTCCGGTGCCCGACTGACCGCACGCTCTGCTCCTGGCGCGGGGCTCCGGCGCCCGACTGACCGCACGCTCTGCTCCTGGCGCGGGGCTCCGGCGCCCGACTGACCGCACGCTCCCGACCACGGGTTCTGCCAGGACGGTGCCAGCTTCTCGGCCAACCTGGACGACCCGGCCATCACGCAGAGAAGCCTGGAGGACGAGTACGCCCTTCTGAGGCGCATGGGCTTCAACGACGCCAACATCGCCACCATGGTCAGCATACGCCAACTACGGCGCTCTCCTCGACAACTTCAGCGCGGTTCACTTCTCGTGCGGCAGCGCCGCATTTCCCCCCCCCCCCCCTTTTTCCGATCAAAAGCATAACTGGCACTTTCACGGAGAAGGCTCCCTTAGGCGTGTAAAGGATGTACGAGGAGGAATGTCGCCGTAACAGCGAGCACAGAATATGACCTACGAGGCTATATGGAACTTTGCGGTGTAGCAAGTGGTTAAAAGTTGTCGAGATCTCAGTTCACAATGCTCCAAATGCTTTCTCCTAGCCCGTGGTACAATTGAACGTAACTGTAAAGATGTGTACCAGTTTACCAACGGAATGCGATCACTTCAAAATAAAAAGTGCACGTAAATGTCATGACCGCTAGCGAGTGTAGAAACGTAATGTCAAAGCGAAGCAGCCAGTGTCAAGCAGAGTTCATGAGAAAGAGTGTGGTCTATTCTCCACAGAACTTCAACGCGGCGAAAGCCTGCTTTCTGCCAGAGGAGGAAAAGCGAGATCTGCTGCAGAAACTACGTCAGGCCTACGGTGTGCCTGACTGCGACTGACAGACTACCGTCGTGCCTGACTGCGACTGAGAGAGTGCCGTTCGCTGGCAGGCGCTACACATGTACCAATGCTACTCGCAGACCAATACAGATTATCCGCTACAGCATAAGTCGTATTTAGACAAGTTTAGAGAAGAATCTCGAAGGAAACCTGCTTTTTCAGGTCCAACGAAAATGCGTACCAGGTGTGAACCAGGTGTGAATTAGTGGTGCGAATGTGGGGGTGTAAATTAGTGCCGCAGGCAAAGTGCGTGCTTGAGCTAGGACTCTTCTCAGTGCTCACCTGGCGTCTAGAAGCGCGCGAATAACATTATTTCATGATGCGTTGCTGAAATATCTGGCCAGAACTTGAGATGGACATAATTATTATAGAACTTTCATCGAAAGCTTTTGAAAGAACCTTTTGGCATCAATAGCACCACCACTCCTGTAGATGAACTTCCGTGGCTGAGCTCGATTGTGCCGTTGATCCGGAGCTTGTGTTCATCGATTCTGTGGCTCCAACACACCGACTCGTTGATAGGATGACATCACCATTCGAGACGGCGGATGACTTTGCTTTCTCCAGTATATGTGATTTATCCTTAAGCTGTGTTACACACTTCAAAGATGAGTTCTCTAGAAAACCCTCGGTGATTGTGCGCAAACCTCTGCTTCTTGTTTTGTGCTCCAGATCAATCGGTTTTACAAATGCTTTCAGTTTGGCACGGAAATTCGGCATATTTGTAACATTTTAAGATGCTAACAGATCTTGTTTGTGAGGATGGCAAATGGTTTGCACCACGCTCGCCGTGATATTGCTACGCCGCGCGAACAGTTCGTTACGTTCTTTGACAAATTTCACCCCATCCTTTCTACTGAGCATTCCCGGGAGGCACTTCAGGCACACTTGAAAGTAGCAAAACTGAAGGTTTATTTCCCCGATCTGCCAGCAATGAGGCTTTACACTCACCGATCCTCTGTTGGGCTCTGGCCCGGTTAACTCGGAGACGGCGTCGAATTAGATGCATGTTGCACCAAATTCTATGACCACGGTTCCAGGTGTGATGGGCCAGCATACAACACGGCTTTGCTCCGGCTCTAGACTATGTTCTATGTTGAACTCCAGTGCAACTTTATATAACAGCTACCGACGTGCTGTGAGGACTCGAGCGTACCACGTTACCATCTGCGCTACTGATGAGGGATGTCAGGCACGTAAGGTCGATTAACACGCACTCGTCATTTAGACATTGTTTTAGAGTTCCCGAAAAATAGCGAAGTGACTAGTTTTAGGCTCAAAATTCATGGTTTCATGGTCACGACCACAGTTCCCGACGTAGTGAGCCGATCACGCCGGGTCAGCCCATACCGACCGGTCGGCTAGTGCCGTGCCTCGGTGCGTGATCCGCCAACGTTCGAATTCCAGTTCCTACCGAGCTAGACGGTATGCTATCGATTTCTTCGTTATTTTTGCTGGAGCAGCGATACTTTAATCTCCATGTGCATACCAGCTTGACGAAAATAGAAACGCGATATTTATCAGAAGATGACAACGGCCCAAACAGGTCATTATATGCACCTAGTTGGCAGCGGTTCATCATGATCCTGTCGGAGCACCTGGTGCGCTCCGACACGGACGGCAGGGACTTCCGCACCCACTGGTGGAAGTGGACCTTTGGCTGACTCCAGCAGATCTTCATGCGGGTAAGCCATCCCCACTTCGCCCCCACTCCCACCCCCTGCCATAAGGCGCCTGACACGCAACGACGAGGGATGGTTATCAGGAGTTGTGGTGTAGTTTTTGGTGCGGGCTGCTGTTTGATACAGAGTCATGCGATCTGCAGACGCCTAGCAACGCGTCACTCTGGTTACGTGTCCATGGCTGCGTTCGCTTAGCTACGTTCCTCCCACCACGTCCCTCTAAAGGCATGCCCCCGGTGACGCTCTACCCCCTCCCCCTGCGCGCCCCTGGGGTTTCTGACGGCGACCCTCTCCCCGCGTGTCTCCGACCGCCGCCGCCTGACCACGTGCCCCTGGTGACGCCCCTGGGGTTTCTGACGGCGACCCTCTCCTCGCGTGTCTCCGACCGCCGCCGCCTGACCGCGTGCCCCTGGTGACGCCCCTGGGGCTTCTGACAGCGACCCTCTCCCCGCGTGTCTCCGACCGCCGCCGCCTGACCGCGTGCCCCTGGTGACGCCCCTGGGGTTTCTGACGGCGACCCTCTCCCCGCGTGTCTCCGACCGCCGCCGCCTGACTGCGTGCCCCTGGTGACGCCCCCGGGGCTTCTGACGGCGACCCTCTCCCCGCGTGTCTCCGACCGCCGCCGCCTGACCGCGTGCCCCCGGTGACGCCCCCGGGGCTTCTGATGGTGACCCTCTCCTCGCGTGTCTTCGACCGCCGTCGCCTGACCACGTGCCCCTGGTGACGCCCCTGGGGCTTCTGACGGCGACCCTCTCCTCGCGTGTCTCCGACCGCCGCCGCCTGACCGCGTGCTTTCGTCGGCAGCACAACGGGCAGGTGCACAAGTACAGCCAGACGCTGGAGACGCTGCTGTTCACCCAGAACCTGGACCCACACGTGTTGGACGCCTTCCACCAGTTCCTGGCGGTGCGTGCCTGAGCCGGGCCCCGCCCAGTGTTCCCCGACTCCTCAACGGCTGGCGGCCGGCGGCCGGCCCCTGCGGCGGGCCACCGCCGCGCCCTCTGCCCGACAGGCGGCGCCGGCGTCGTGACGTGATGATGCGCGCGCGTGGCGGCGGGCTCTGGTCCAAGACTAGCGGCGTTGTGAGGTCACGGTGTGACCCCGCCTGCGGACCGCTGCGGCGAGACGGCCAGCCAGTCCATGTCGTGCTGTGAACACGGACGTCCAGCCCCGGCCGGGCCGCTTCATCGCCGTGCATTGGTGGACGTTCGGTGTGTTCTTTTCAAATAGAGTTCACGGAGGTCGACATGTCTGGAGGACGGCGATTGCCGAATTGCCACTGCGCGCGTTATATTGGCTATGATTGGTAACTGGTCCGACAAGATGCACGGACTCGTCGCCGACTGGTGCCAACCGATCTGTGGTCAATCGGTACCTACATTTTGCATTCTTTCCTTTGTATGTTCCGTACTTCGGGCATTTTGTACTTTGGATGCTCCGTACTTTCGGAATTCTGTTCTTTGACCATCGTGCAAACTGTCCTCGTTGCAACCAATGATATGGGAAGCAAGGTGCGTGTGACGGGTCGCGTCTCGAGGCATGACTTAGCACAGCTGGGCGGTTGATAATGTTCGCCAGACCGGGCTATGGTGAGTCGCCACGCGGGCTGCCCGCTCGCCGCTGTAGAGCGGCGCCTTGCCAGCAAGCCGACGGTACGCCGCCGATCGATCCTCGAGCTGTTTGTCCTTTCGGAGATACATCCGGCTTCATATTGGTCTATTCACCGACCCAGACGGCTCAGCAGGCACGTCCCACGGGGTTTGAATAAGTGTTTGGTTTGATGTGCATCATACTGTTCCGGTGAGCAGCTGGCAGGTGTTCTGTGGCATTCTGAGACGACGCAGCTGCCTGGCCGTCTGAACTCGAAGTACTCGACGTTAATTCTTTAAAACGAGACGCGGGTGCAAACTACCAATGCCTTTGACGCACCCCGCAATGCCAATCCGGAACGGTGGGCAGGTGCCGGATGTCCAGCCACAAACAGCAGCCGTTATTTGAGGCCTGCTGAGCTGATGTTCGAACATGACGCCGTGCTCTGGGCGCCACTCAGGGCCGTCAGACGGTGTCCCATGGGTGCCCGCTCTGTGCACCTTCTGTCCGAGTCCGTCGGGACCGCAGACCTCTTACGCCCGTCGGCACGCATCAGGCTGGCGAAACGATCCGGCGGCGGGGCGCCTAGCTGTCTTTACTGAGCTGCCCCAGACGAGCGCTTGTTGTCATTGGGACTTTACGATGCACTCGGCTAGTGAGGTTGCATTACGTCGCCCGTCTCACCCTGGCGGGAAGAGCGGGCACCGCGGGGAATCGAACACCGTACCTCAGGTGTCCCAGACGCGCGGCTTAGCCACAGCGCTATCGGTATCCAGCACCCTTCTGGACAGGTCTGGGCTGTCTGGGTCAGTCGCCCCGGGGTATAACCATCCCCGTAACTCGGCTGGCGTCGCGCCCCACATGTGACGATCGCGGAAGACAGCGCGCTGGCGTCCCAGAAGCGGTGCTTGCGTGCTTGTTGAAGGTCAAGCAGCAACTTACCAAGGTCAGTCTGACGCAGGGCGGCTGTGCGTATGACTTTACATGCACGTCAGAGATCCTTCGATATTAATTGGCAGGAAAATCAGACCCAAGCTGCTCGTCAAACGAGCTTCGTCTACAGGAGTAGTGGTGTTAGGGTCTTTGCAGCAGGGCCGTGTGAAAAATACTTGATGCCAAAAGATTCCTTCAAAGCTTTCGATGAAAGTTCTACAATAATGATGTCCATCTGAAGTTCTAGCCAGATGATTCCAGCGACGCATCATGAAAGAATGCTATTCTCGCTTCTAGGCGCCAGGGGAGCACAGAAAAGAAGTCCTAGCTCAAGCAGCGCAATTTACCTGCGGCACTAATTCACGCCCACCACGTTCACACCGCTAAGGCACACCTGGTTCACATTTTCGTTGGCCCTGAAAAACAGGTTCCTTTCGTGTCTCTTTTCTAAACTTGTCTAAGTGCGACTCATGCTGTAGCGGATAGTCTGTATTGGTCTGCGAGTAGCATTGGTACATGTGTAGCACCCGCCAGCGAACGGCAGTCTCTCAGTCGCAGTCAGGCACGACGGCAATCTGTCAGTCACAGCCAGGCACGCCGTAGGCCTGACGTAGTTTCTGCAGCAGATCTTGCTTTTCCTCCTCTGGCAGAAAGCAGGCTTTGGCCGCCTTGAAGTTCTGTGGACAATAGACCACACTTTTGCTCATGGACACTGCTTGAGACTGGCGGCTTCGCTTTAACTTTACGTTCCTACATTCACTCCTGGGCAGGACACTGATGTGCACTTTTTTTCTTTGGAAGCGATCGCATTCCGTTATTAAACTAGTACACATCTTTACATTTACGTTCCAACGTACCACGGGCTAGAAGAAGGCATTTGGGGATTC